CAGCCCTGCCATCCAGAGATGATGCTGATCACGGTCTGGTGTCTATTCCAATACACAGACACACACACAAAACAAACCACTCTCTATAGAAAAATAATTGCCGTCAAGTTGCTTCTGACTCATGGCAACTACAGTGTGTCAGGTAGAACATGCTCCAAGGGTTTCAATGACCCATTTTGCAGAAGTTGATCACAGGCCTTCCTTCCTCGTTGTCTTATGTGGTTGCCGTGAGCCGTCGAGTCAGACTCATAGCGACCCTACCGGTCACAGTAGAAGCAACTGCCCCACAGAGTTTCCTAGGCTGTGATCTTTATGGGGGCAGCTTGCCTGGTCTTTTCTCCTGTGGAGCAGCTGCTGGGTTCAAACCGCTGACCTTTCGGTTAGCAGCCAAGTGCTTAACCACAGTTGTGTATAAATACAAAACGAAACAAAAAAAACCCCACTGTCATCCAGTTGATTCCAACTCAATAGCAACCCTTACAGGGGTCCAAAGGCTATAAATCTTTGTGGAAGCAGACTGCCTTGTCTTTCTACCACAGAGCAGCTGGTGGGTTTGAATCACCAACATTCTGGTCAGTAGCCTCATGCTTTAACCACAGCACAACCAGAGCTCCTTTATGGATAAATGACATGCATAAAATTAGAGTCGTAGCAAAATACATTTTGACTCCTGCCTGTTTTGAGGACTACACCATGACTGTTTCCCGGAGTCATCTCATGTTCTTCTAAAGCACCAGGGAGAATGGAAGAATCTTTGCTGCGGGTGCTGGGGTCGCTGGTCTACCAGGAGCAGCACTGCTGGGAGTGACCTTGTTCCTAATGCGCCGCTGCCTGTAATTCGGCCCCTCTGAGTAAGGGCAGAAGGCACAGGCCAGTCTCCGACCCTGGGCACACGTCAAGGTGCTGCCGGGGGGAGAGAGTCGGAGGAGCAAGGGGCAGGGGCGAGAGCCCTGGCGGGTAGCCAGGGGCCAGCCCTGACCAGGCCTGCTGCTGACCCGTTGAGAGGCCTTTGCCATCCCCACCCCTCCCTACTCGTCAGTTTCCCACGTGTCCCACACAGGAGTTCCAGTGACCCGATCCTCTGTCAAGCAGGGAGTTTGTGACAGAGGCTGGAAGGAGTGGGGACTCTGGAGACAGCTGACCGGCAGTGTGAAATGTGGGCACGGCACTTAAGGTCCCGAGCAGTGGTTTTTCCATCTGTAAAATCATGGCTAGTGATATCCACAAGGGGGCAGCAGTGACGGTTCACTGGCAGAACTCTGGCTTAGTGCAGGGGACCCAGGTGGATTCCCAGCCAAAGCACCTCAAACGCAGCCACCAACCTCCCTGTCGGTGGAAGCTTGCCTGTTGTCATGATACCGACCAGGCTTCAACAGAGCTTCCAGACTAAGGCTAGGAACAAAGGCCTGGCATCTCCTCCAAAAACCGGCCAACGAGACCCAGGAGAACACATCAGTTCAGTCCCGTCCTGCGCAGGGTCTCGTGAGTCAGGAGCCAACCCCACGGCAGCTGACGATACCAACAACACCAACAACACAGCCGTGGATAACTTACTTAACTTCTTGGTCCCTCGACTTCCTGGTCTTGTCGGTAAATGAACATGAGTGTACTTCCCTCCCCCAGCGGTGGAGGGGAAGGTTGAGTGAGATGCTGTACTTAAACCCAGCAATGCTCAGTGAAAGGCCACTTGTATGAACATATGCAGGTGCACCAGGGACTTGCCTTGCTCAGAGATGCTGTCCACAGGGACGCTCAGGTTGGCAGCTTCCGGGGTCTCCTCGGGGACCGGTTCCCCAGAAAGCTCCACATCCTCGGAAGGAGGGGATGGAGTGGGCGGTGAGTTTATGGGGTCCACTTTTGCTTCTCTGGGCTGAAGGGACGAAATGAGACCCAAAAGATTCACAAGGCAACAAAGCAGGAGAAAGAACATACCCACAAGGGCTGATTCAAGCCACAGGAAAACCTAGACCCGCCTGCAGTCCACCAGGGCAATCACGGACCTCCTGGGGGCACATCAGGGGTAATTAGTCAATTTCCTTCAGTTCACGGAAACATTCTGTTAATCTCAGCTGAGCTCTTGGACACAGAGACCACATGTCTGCGATCCCCGCATCCCAGCTGGCAGAGGAGGGAATGAATGAATGAACAAGTGCACAAGCTAGGCTGCACTCAGTAACCGCTGTATGAATCCCATCCCAGGTGTGCACTGGTCGCAGACGCCTAGGAAATGAAAGGAGGGTAAGGTTTCCTTCCCAGGAAATGTCAGCCTCTGGAAAGCTTTTCCACAGCCAGTCAGTGTCAACCAACGTTTCCAACAGGGGGTGGGGGTGGCAGCCAACAGGTGGAAACACAGAGCATGTCAGAAATCTAGAGAAAATCTTGACGTGGGGCTGCAAAGGTCATGACATCACCCCAGACCCAGGACACAGGTTCACAGGACCCAGGGTTTACCAAACGTTCACATGAGCAATCTGAGATTCTAGGAAGAACAAGCTACTTGGCAGTGATTTTCTGTAGGTGTTGGTATGAAAGGCGACTGTTTTGTCTTTTTGCTCATCTGCACTTCTAAAAATTTTAAACAATATGGAATATTTGTGTGATGAAAATAATAAATCTATTGTTTTTAGAGTACTATCAAGTTGCCAGGGTGAACGCACACTTGGGCCTTGGAGAATGAACAGGGTTTCAGAAAAGAGAGATGGAAGGAAGGGTTGGGGTGAGGAAGGACGTGACACTGGCAGGGCCTGACAAGTTGAACTTGGCAAAAGCAAAGGGTTCGTGGGGAGAAGCAGGATGCAGAGTCTGGGGAGACGGGGACATGGAGTGGCCGGGTCCTTGGGGAGAAGCGGAGGCTTGGCTGGAAGGGGGAAGAGCTGTGGGCACTGGGCTGGGAGGGGCATGGTCAGCTACGTGCTTTGGAGAGCTGACCCTGGTACCGTGACAACACAGATGAGGGGAGCCGAGCTTTAGGACAAGAGACCAAGAGGATGCAACAAAGAGGCCAAGTGAGGTAGGATCTAGGTGGGTGGGGGGAGCAGAGAGTAGGCACCATCCCAGGAAAGGTTATGCAGAAGACGGAATGGGAGACTTCCCGTCTCCCCGGCTGGAGGCACCATCCAGCAGGAATATACGGACTCCTGTCCCAGGCAGTTCCTCCCTTCTCCTTGTGAGGGGTCCAGGTGGAAGCCACTTCATCCCTCCTGACACCAAGGAAGCCCAAGAAAACCTTGGAGTGAGGCTGCCTGCTATGGCCTGGGGCCTCCGGGACAAGGGTGGCTGAGGGCTGGAAAGCCCAGGAGGAGGAGGTCATGCCGGGCTGAGAGCTGCAACTTGAGGTGCAGAGGGTGGGCTTGAAATCAGTGCAGCTCACCAGCCACAAACTGCTTTGGGCCAACTCCCAGCAAGGTGGCCAGGAGCCCCCATCCAAAGGCAGCACATCATTCTGGCTGCTGCCTCGGCGGGGGGGCTGAAGGGTCCTGCCTCAAGCAGGACACTGCTGGCTTTCTGGGGTCAACACGGATGGGGGGGCCCATGAGGGTTGAGATAAAGCAGGAATGTTGAATCGTTTCTTGAGACCCTACCATGTGCCAGGTCCTTGGCTGAGGCCTGGGATACAGAATGAATCAACAAGAGTGTGTGTCTGTCCTCAAGCTGTCGGACCAGGAGGGAGACAAGCAACAAACCCAGACATAACTGTGAGGTAATGCAACACAGGAGACAGCAGAAGTGACAGCCAAGTGCGAGGAGGGGGACTTGGCAATTATGGTCTCCCGGGAAAGGACATGGACCAGATCCTGAAGGATAGTTAGGAATCTGCAGAGAAGGGGCCGGGGAAGGGCACTCCAGCCCAAGAGCCATATAAACTAAGTATAAGTGTTCATCGAGCCGACGTGTGAGAGTAGCTGTGCTCTGTAGGGTCTCCTCGGCTGTAATGTTCCCAGAAGCAGATCACCAGGCCCATGTTCCTTGGTGCAGCTGGCTGGGTTTGAACTGCCAACCTACAGGTTAGTGGTTGACCACAAACCAACTGTGCCCCACAGGACCTTCAGCAAAGGAGAGGTGGAGGCGAATGTGCTTAGTGCGTCTCGGGAACTGGGAGCATCTGGGTGTAGTCACAAGAGAGGCCTTCAAGCCCGGTGTGGATCAGAAGCCCCTGCAGAGCTTTTTCTAAGTCCAGCCTCATGGACCACCCGCACACCTACTGCGTGGAATTTCCACATTCAGCCCAGGCAAATGTCTTTTCTCAGAGACTTGCCATTCCACCCCCACAGGTGATGCTGAGGCCCAGCCAGAACTGAGAACCAAGGGAAGCTAATTCTAACTCATCATAAGATAGAACTTTCCAGAAATGGAAAACGGTGTTTGCAGAGGCTGACTGAGCACAGGGCACCAATGAGGTAGCAGGACTCCTACCCCTAGTGGGGTAGTGGGTAAGATGGCCCATGATTCAGCTCAAGGGCTGTGCCCTGTGTCTTGGCTGGTGGCAGGCTGGAAGGAGTGAGAATGGGGAAGTGAGATTCATTCCAAGAGAAAAGCCAGACAGAGGGAGGGGCAAGGCTGAGACGAGGAGGGAAATCCCCCCATCCCTGAATGGTAGCCGCTGAAGAGAACTCTGGAGCCCTTCCAGGAGATGGTGAAGGGGGAAGTCCCAGTTGGGTGTGTGCGTGCTTGTGTGTGTGCGTGCAGGTGACAGAGCCCCAGGCAGACCCCTAAGACCCAGCTCTGCCACCTATAGGTGGGCAGCCTCAGCGACACTTATTATGCCCTGTGCCCCAGTGTCCACCTCCATCCAATAGATGGGAAAACCCCTTCCTGCCAAGGACACCAAGGAACGCAGATTACTCTGCAGAGAGCAAGGCTAGGAGCTCATGGGAGCTCCAGTCACACGAGCCCGAGGACAGGCAGTTCCTTGGCCTCAAAGCCACAGCCCTGAGGGAATCCTCTTAGGACTGGGGACAGCTGCAGAGGCCTGGCAAGCCCGCCAGTCCCGGCCACCAGCCAATTCAGAAGCAGGTGTGGGGAGGGGGCCCCCAAGAGCTACTGGGCATCCTCACTGTGTGTGGTCCGGAGCCAGGTGTTCTGAGTTACCTCCCTTGATCCGCACAAGCGACCAGGCGACATCCACCTCCGTGCACTGAGTGCTCACTGCAGGCCAGGCTGGCCCCAGGCTCTTAACGCACCAGCACCTCTGAACCTGCACGTTTCCATTTCACCAAAGAGGGAACCGAGCCCGGAGAGGCTGAGTTACCGGCTCACCGTTACCAACTAGTGCTCGGCAGAGCTGGAACTCACACACAGTGAGACTTCAATCTGAACCAAAACCAAAAACCCATGCCATCAGGTGGATCCCGACTCACGGTGACCTTGTGTGCTACAGAGTAGAACTTCTCCATATGGCTTTCTTGGCTGTAACCTTTAGGGGAAATGAATGCCAGGCCTTTCTGCCGTGGTGCCACTGGTAGGTTCAAACCACTGCCCTCTAGGTTAGTGGGCAAACACAAACCATTTGTGCCACCCAGGGATGTTCCAATCCCACCAGTTCTCTCAAAAATGAGTGAGGAGGTGAATGGAACAAAAAGCGTGTTGGGTGCCCCAAAGACAATCAAATCCATCAAATCACCAACAACCTTTTTTGTCACTTCTCCAGACACTTTGGGGGTGTTTTATAGCCTCCCATATCTGCCTCTGTGCGTGCAGGGAAGAGGCCCCTGGTGGAGAGCCAGCGGGCCCAGGCTGGAGTCCTGTCTGTACCCCAGTGACCTTGACAAAACCACCCATGTCCACATGTGTGCAGTGAGGTTGATGCTATCCCCTTTGCAGGGTTGCAAGGAAGAAATGGCATTAGATACCAAAGCACCAGGCACATAGTGGGCATTGGGACATACTGGTCCTCCTCCCTCCCCTCTCTTCACCCCCTTTCATTTCATGTCCAAAGCTGCCCCACCCTCTGTGGTAGTTAAGGTTATGTGTCAACTTGGCTGGACCTGATTGAGTGGCTGGGCAGGTGGATATAGTTATTCCCCATGGTGAGACTGGCAATCAATTTCATGGTGGAATCTACTGGAACAGCTGAGTGGTGGCTTTGCGGATGTGGTCTGCTTCTAGTATGTAAGAAGCAGCTTTGAGGAAGGTTTCTAGTTTTGGGGCATGCTTGAACCCTGCATGTAGCTAAGACATTGTTCAGCAGCCCGCCATGCCCTGCTGATCTTGAGACTTTTTCTGGGCTTGAATTAGTAGTCTCCCGTGTTGTTTGCTAATATTGGGACTGTGCCTTTTTACTTGTTGACCTTGGGTTTGTTAGCCTCAGCAGCCAGGAGCTGCCTGAGTGAAGAAAATTCTCCAGCTTCAGTGGGCCGGGAGGCAGAGTGGAAGCCCAAGGTTGAGGGGCCTTCACCCAGCCCCTAGAGCCTGGCACTTTGAACTCGGACTTTTAGCCTCCCAAAGTTGTAAGGATAAACTCCTGTTTGTTAAAGCCATTCCCATTTGTGGCGTATCTCTGTCAGAGCCTCACTAGTTAACCAAAACACCCTTCAACGAAGAGTACCCCATCCACCTGGAAGCCATCCCTAGCTATCCCCTAGACATGACATCTCATGCTCTCAAACTCCACCCTCCTTTCCTGTCCCTCTCATGGGCCCCATTATGTTGGCAAAGAATACTGAATATATACCACGGGCTGCCAGAAGAACGAAGAAATCTGTCTTAGAAGAAGTACAGCCAGAATGCTCCTTAGATGCAAGGATGGGGAGACTTTGTCTCAAGCACTCTGGACATGAGATCAGGAGGGACCAGTCCCTGGGGAGGGACATTGTGCTTGGGAAAGGAGAGGGTCAGCGAGAAAGAGGAAGGCCCTCAGGAGACAGATGGACACAGTGGCCGCAACTCCAACACAGCAGTGACCGTAGGGCTGGTGCAGGACCGGCAGTTTCATTCTGTTGTACACGGGCCCATGAGCTGCCACTGACTCGACAGCACCGAACACCAACAACGAAGCTCTGTGGTCCTATTCTGCCCCACCCAGACCCCGTCGCCGCAGGCCTGTAATTTATAAGCCTCGCCTTATTTCCATCTTTCTACTTTCTTCCATCCGGAGTAAGCCAGGCCCAAGGAGGCGACTGCCCGGGCCCCTCTGTTCTTGGTGAGTCAGACCCTACTTGCTGTTTTCATTAAAAATGGACTGCCTGGCATCCCCATGATGTGACTCAGAGCTTCTGAAACCACTTCCCCGTCGGCCTCGGTGCACACCCAGGACGGAGGGGTCTGCACCCCTGGGAGCAGGCAGCCGGAAGTGACACCCCAGGGCGGACTGTGTGTATGGGGGGGTTTGACTTCTCCCTCCCAGGTGAGCCTTGAGAGCAAAGGTCACCATTCAAGGTCCTTTCCATCATGCCAGGCACTGGGCTGAGACCTACCTCTGCACTCCACCCTTTAACCCTGGAACAGCCCCCCGGGGCGGGATTACTGCCATCACCATTCATGAAAAAGGAAGCAAGCCTCAGAGAGACTAAGGGACCCGGGGTCACAGAACGGGGAAGTGACAGCGCGCCCCTGTCCTTGAGTAGTCTTCTTGTGTCCACAGTGCAGGGGACACGGAGTGGCATTCCAGTTCACCCCGGGAATTCACAAAATGCCCATTTCCAGTACTTCCTGAACCTTCTCCCAGGTGAGCTGAAGATCGAGGTCACAGATCTGAGGACAATGACATCAGGCCTAGGGCTCTGGGGATCCCGCAGCACCCCTTGGTCCCCTAAAAGTGGACGAGGAGTGCAAGGTCCGGACTGTAGTACTCACCGGGACTTGAGTATAGGTGACGGGTTCCAGTATTTCAGCCATTCCGTCCGCCTCCTGAAGCCCACTCGTCTCCCCCGAGGCCTGTGAGGAGACAAAGCGTGCCACACACCAGGCACAGAGGGGGCAGTTTACGGGAGACGCTGACAAGCAGGAAAGGAGCAGGAACGGGGGAAACCCAGTGGATGTGCAGGCGTGTGTGAGAATGTGTGTGCACATACGTACACACATGCGTGTGCATGCCTGGCAATCCTTTCTGTGTCCTGCCACATTTCATTGCTCAAACAAAAACCACCCGTGGACAGCCTGACTGACACGTGTACGTTGGTTTCCGGCTCCCTTCAGTCTCAGTCAAAAGGCACTCCCGACCCTGGCAGGGACACCACCGGAATTCCACGGGGGACCACGGGGAACCGAACACTCTTAAGTACTCCTTTCTGTTGATACATAATCTTCATAATCAGCCTTCTCCCAGTGGCAGCCAATGGGTCTGTGTGCCGTGTGTGTGACCAGTCCCTGGTGTTGGACTTTGTCACAGAGATGAGCACACACAAGGGTTTCCTGCTCTGGGCATCACCTGAACACCAGGCTGGACCACTGGTCTGAGGGGTGCACTGCTTCTTACAGTCACAGTCCACCTCGGCGGGCTTCCCCACTAGACTGACAGCAGTGTGTGCTCAATTCGCGAAGCCAGTCGGTATCTGCTTGGGGTTGACTCTGTCTAGAGAGGAGCAGAAGG